CCAGATATTACCCAAGGAAGAGGAATCCGGATTACCCTTACGAGGCAGAAGCTTAGGGACCCATTACAAAGGAACACATGCTATTGACTCTGGTATGCTCTATATCAGATTCCTTTTCATGCACATAACAGAAAATAAATAATGATAAGAACAATAGCCCAAGCAGGAGCAGATGCAGTTGCAGTAGTAGCAGAGGCAGTGGTAGTACCTACTACCGATTGTAGTACCTACTATCAAAGAAAGAAAGAAAAAACAATAATCCCTCCCCCTAGCTGAAGACGGGAAGAGGGGAGGTTTAAGAGTAAGAGTTGCTTCTAAGCTTCTCCTCATAGTTACTATCCTCATGAAAAGCAAGAAAAAATTAACAGAAGCTGCCGACAAACAACAGGTGTGAGTGGAGGATTCAATGAGTACGCATGACACGGTCTGATACTCTTGACTAGTAGCGGGTAACTGACGAATGCTACATCTCTGCGCCTCCTCACACTCAGCTGAAAGTGTCACAATATGGGATCTGAAATTTTCAAGGCTCCAGAGACGCATGGCGCCTGAAAATTACCCATATAGTCAAGAGTATAGGGCTTCATTTACCTCGGCACGGCGCGGCGCAGTTTACGCCTGTTGTACATTGTAACCATTTCATGGTCATTTAAGCCGCTTTTCCGGTCCTTTAACTTGCCGCTTCACGTTCGTCTGTTATTAAACAATTTTCTAGTGAAGTTAAAAAAATAATCATTCCATGTGTCCAGTATCCCCATAACTGAAATCGAATGACTGAGTAAACAGTAAAAACGATAGAATATAGAATGATATTATGTAAGCAGTACTTAAAGCAGTACTAAAATTAAAAGATTTAATAAAAGCTGAAAAAAATAGGCAGAAATAAAAGCAATGAAGCAGTGAACGCAGACGTGATCAAGATAAAACAGATATAGAACACAAAAAGGTAATAAAATACGGCAAAATAATGGGCAATAGTTTAAAAAAATATATAGGTCCCAGGAATCGCCATTAAAATATAATAAAAGTAAAAGACTGAAAATAAATCCTTGAAAAGACTCGGCAAAATTGACATGTGAGAACATAACACTGAGTACTTATTGAACACTGCTATGCTTGGAAAACGTAATTCAAATATAGCCAATGCCTTATTAAAATATTGATAACATCTAGCAAAAATACAGCTTTGGCAAAGAAATCCAGTTGAAACTGTTCTTTGTCATATATATATATATATATATATATATATATATATATGTGTGTGTGTGTGTGTGTGTGTGTGTGTGTACATACATACATATAGGTGTGTGTCTTATTCTTAATTAATTCCTGAGCTATTGTTTATATATTCAAATGATTATTAACGTAATCACCAGAGGAATTGTATATTTTGAAAAATGGTATGCTTATACTATTTTTGCATTATTGCTTTATTGTCGTTATTGTTGTATCAGAGTTATCATCATTCATATTGATGCTATTCTAATTTTTATTTTTATTATAATTATTATCATTAATTTTATAACCACTATAAATTCTAATACTGAACTTATTATTAATCAATTCTATTCTTCCTATACCTTGTTTTTTATCATTATTGTTATTAATATCATCATTAATGTTACTGTTATAGCTACTATTGTTATTAGCATTATAATTATCATCATTATTATTGTTATTATCATTATTGTCTCTTTTAGTATCATTATCATTATTATTACTTCAACATTACTGTTAACATTAATATTATTGTTATTTGTATTGCTATCCTTCTCTTTATCATTATTATATCATTTTTCTATTAGTGTTGTTACTATAATTACACCATTATCATCTTCATATTTATTATTGCCATCATTATTAGCATCACCAGTATTACTACTATTGTTATCATTAGGGTTATTATTGAGTCTATCATTATTATTGCTGTTACCATTGTTGTTTTAATTATCATTATTATTCTCATCTTCATCTTCACTGGGTGTGGAATATGGAATTAGCAAGAGAGATCATCTGATTTATGCCCACTGAATTGTTGTATGCCCATAATCTGATATATGGATAACTGATATATGCTAAGAGGTAGTAAAGCATGTAAGTAAGTTCAAGCATAATTCATTTATAAAATATATTATAACAGACTTCTCGCATCTATCTTTTACATGGGTGACAGGAAGAGGAAATTGAAAAGGAGAGAGCAGAAGCAGGAGCGTCCCATTGGTTCCTGGCATGACTAGTAGTGGTACGTGAAGAATGAAGTTCTCCAGTCACGTGGATGTTCTCTGCTTTTAATACGCTTATGGATATGTACACATTGCATGTAGATGTATCTGTCTATACTGTAGATACTTAGATTTATATATTTTTATAAAAATATACCTATATATATAAGTATATGAATATATGTATATGAACATGCAAAAAATCAGAATTATATATATATATATATATATATATATATATATATATATATATATACAAATATATAAAAGTTTGTGATATACATATGCATAAATATACGTCTATACTTACACATACACGCACGCGCGCACATATATATATTATACATACGCATACATATACATATATAAACAGTAATTATATATATATATAATCCATTTATATACTACTGATTTATTTACCTATCTATAATACATACATATGTATACAAATATGTCTACACGATGATATGGATATGCATAGATATATACTCTTTGTCTATCAATCTATGGACCTTTGCATATACATACATATATATTTATAGACATATTATACAGTATAAGCTGGTATATATATTCATATATTCATATTTATACTATATGCACTGGTAAATACACATATATATTTAAAGTCAACACAGACACAAACACACACACACATATACATACATTCGGAGCGATTCCTAGGCAGGTCCCATTTTAAGCGACGAAAATTCAGTCTATCCTTCTCACGCATCCGATAATTTGTCTGAGAGAAATGAAACCTTGGTAGTTCACGCGCGTCAATGAGAAAACGATCAGTTTTGGATCTAGCTGCGTGGGAGGCTGATGGTCTCGTGTGCTTATGTAACAAAACGCAGTTCCAACTATCTCTTGCTATATGTGTGAACGAAATGCATACTTGCAGCAGCAATTCAACGTAAAGGAGAGTAACTTTAGTGTGTGAGAAGAATGGCAGTGTAAAAGACAAGTGTTGGAATGGAGCGAAAGTGTAAGCGTAATGTGTGTGTGTGGTGAATATATATGGTGCGAGAGGTGCAGTAAGCGTGAAATAAGTCGAGGAGAGGCGTGTGCGGGGAGAACTCTCCGACGCAAGAAAGTAGTAAAATAGACTTTTTCAAGTCATATTACTGGAGGCAATGATTAAGGTTGAGCTTCTTATTCAGCAGTTTACTGCTTATCACTTTAAGCATTGATTGATATTTCCTTCATTATCATATTCACTGTCTTATTATCTGTATTTTCTGTCCTCTTTCCTTTTAGATTTATGGGCAAGGAAGGAATACGAAGTATAATATAACACGTTTATATAAGACAAATATTAAAACATATCTACGATAAACTCACCCATTTACATAACATGTGCAAATATGTGCATGTGCTCACGCGTGCGCACAATGTGCGTGCGGATTTGCATATGTTAGACATGATGTGATGAGAACCACTGCATTGATTACCTAAACAAATATCCCCCTGGGGAAGAATTATGGGTCAGCCTCCTCAATATAAAGACCTAGTCAACTACATGGCGCCAAGTAGTTCGTCAAACACCGCATCGGTGATAGCATGAATATGATGTGTGTGCATGTGTCTTTATGTATATATATGTATGTGGGCATATATATGTATGTATATATACACATCTATACATACACGTGTGTTTATGTATGCATATATACACATGGACACACACATATACATGCACAAATATTTGTGTATGTATGTATATATATCTATCTATATATGTATATATAAGTGAGAATGTCTTCATTCGTAATTATGAGACAATGAGAATGAAGATGGTGTTTTTCTGCCTACATCGTCTCACATGTATAACACAGCTGTTATTCGTAAGGCGTCAGATTTAACGGATATTTGGAAACATATAACTATATGAATCCTAAATGAGTAGATACTGTAC